GAACTCTGTTTTTATTATAATTTAAGTGTATTACACAATATATGAATTATAAATAAATAAAATAGTAAATGAAATTAAAGTAATTCATTTAATCATCTATAGTCTCCTATACCGACCTTCACGTCAAATTCATTATAATTACAAGACATGACTGTTTAGTGCAATCATTTGAGTACATTTACCGATAATTCAGTTAAAATATACAGTACAGTATCGTATGTTCACTGAATCCTTGAACATAAACATTTCCATTTAATAACACATTTGTTATGATTTGCAAATTTTTAATTTAATAAATATTTATTACAAATATCATTATTTAACAAATATTTTCGATTATTATTAAAAACATAATAAATATGATAATTGATCAATTATAAATGCATTGAGTTCTAAATACCGTAAAAGCAACTTGATTATATTTGAGTACATATACCGTAATAGCATTTCTAATACATGAGTGACAGATACTGTATGTTGATTGATAGGCACCGGTAATGTAGGATACACTGTGTATGTATGGGTGAGAGAGAGGTTGTGCGGACACGACTGTCCCACCAGTGATGTGATTGAGTGGTATATTGTCTGCAAAGAGCGCACGTGCCGTAAGTGACGGCACAGACATGTGTTTCACTGGTGTTTACGTGTCATTGCAGACACAGACATAGACACAGATCTATGAGAGACAGTGATGGATGTGATCAGACAACTGAGTGCCGAAGAACAACAAATCGACCACTTCTTCAGTGAACTCAAAGAGCCACACAATTTGGATTCAATTCGTTCAGAAGTACTCGACTTCTGTCAACTCAATTGCAATGAGAAGATTGTCTTGATTACGGTATCACTCATTGAATCCATAAAGCAAGGGAGCGAACGGGTCCTTCAAATTGGCCGCAAATGCCGCCAAAAAGAGCACTAAAAAGACCGTCAAGACTGCGAAGAGTGCTAAGAGTGGCACCAAATCCAAGAAATCGAGTCCCAAGAAGACCACCGCAAAGGCGCCCAAAGCCAAGACCACCACCACATCGACCACAACCCCATCGACAGCCGCCGCCCCCGACCACAGCCAACCCAAGCCTAAGGCCAAGAAAGTGACCAAAAAGTCACCGAAAAAGGCGACCAAACCTAAGAAGACGGTCGAGAAGAAGTCGAAAACACCAAAGACTGCGAAATCCCCGAAAAAGTCCGTCAAGAAGTCATCGAAAGCGAAACCCGCCGCCAAAAAGACACCGAAAAAGGCCCCCAAAAGCAAGACAGCGCCCAAAAAGGCTTAAATCCTGACCAAAGGTCACACAAACGGCTCTTTTCAGAGCCAATCAAACACTGAACGAAAAGTTTGCAGAATTTGTTTTGTTTGTATGAAAGATGAATGTATTGAAAGGTATTTGGTCTCAAAGTGGTGGTAAGTGTTGGTCATGTGATCTAACCCTCAAACAGTTGGGACCCTCACTGGTAGAGGATGGCATTGGACTTACTCTTGTAGTGGAGGTTAACACTAAAGTCTGCCAATGAGTGTTGGGAACCAATGGTTGTGCGATTCATATGTAATCAAAGGCAACCATTGGTCCAATAGGACAGTGAAAGCGCTGCATAATTATTGCAGGCATTCATTCATAATGTATTCACTGATGGCATACGTCCACTAATTATCATATATTATCTCAATAACCGATTCAATGAACTATTATTTTAGACCATAGGTTAGTCTATCGTATTGATGTATAGCGTGGGAATAGAGTGCATGTATTCAATATGCTTGACATGGAGATAGTGAGTGCAAGTGAGGGGTAATCTATGACCACAGCCGCACGGATTAGTATAGCAAGTTAGGGAAAGTTAGTTCATTTGGTGTTTGCACTGCAGAGGGCAGGGTTGCACACTGTTGACGGGCTCAGTGGGTGTTATTATAGCCATTGGTTGTGTTAGGGATGGACGTGCCCTCACTTCTCGTGTGCATTGGTTTGTATGAGCCGTAAATGACGTGAAAACATGTGATTTGAATGTTTTGCTCGTATTTTGAAGGTCTGTCCCAATAGTTGGCATATAAACGGATTTATGTTTGCATTTGATCTACAATTTGAAGTTTTGTTTGATTTGATGATTCATTGACTCGTTAATAGGTCTGCGCTTTGGATGTGATTGTGCTATGAATTGGTGGCAATGGTTGAGACAAACGGATCAAATAAAGTGAGGGCACTCGGAGTGATTGTGTCATTGATTGTGATTTAATGATTGATTGTGTGAACAGTTGTCACAATCAGAGCGAGTGTTGACTTCGTTGATGGCGGGCGCGACTGCCGGTGCGTTGGCTAAGACTGTGATCGCGCCCCTGGACAGGACCAAGATAAATTTCCAAACACAGAACCTGTCGTTCAATTTCAGGGAAGCCTTCACATTCCTGGTGAACACTTACAAGAGATCTGGTCTGAAGAGTCTCTGGAGGGGTAACTCGGCCACAATGGTGCGGGTCATGCCGTACGCCGCCATTCAGTACTCAAGTCATGAACAGTTCAAACACTTATTGAATGTCGAAACCAATGCCCAGAAGTTTGTGTTTAATTAAATAGATTTCAATTGAATGTCAATTAAATGTATTGTCTGACAGACGAGAACGCCCGGCGCTCAGTTTTGTTGCCGGATCTCTGGCCGGAGTGGTCTCAACCACTGCTACCTATCCTCTGGACTTAGCCCGCGCTCGGATGGCTGTCACACATAAAGAGCAATACAGGGATCTGTCGGCGGTCTTCATGAAGACCATAAAGGATGAGAAGTTCTCGCGTTTGTACAGAGGGTTTGTTCCCACTCTGATTGGTGTGATTCCTTACTCAGGGTTTGGTTTCTTCACATACGAGACCCTCAAACGCTTCCAGTCTTCATGAAGACCATAAAGGATGAGAAGTTCTCGCGTTTGTACAGAGGGTTTGTTCCCACTCTGATTGGTGTGATTCCTTACTCAGGGTTTGGTTTCTTCACATACGAGACCCTCAAACGCTTCCATTCAGGTATGAGACCATCCATTGTATTGCTTTCGGTATAAGACTAAGAGTTTTCAATTGTTTGTCAATATGTTTAGAGCTGTACGTCGACACTGAGCCCAACCCACTGGAAAGGCTAGCGTTTGGTGCGGCCGCCGGTCTCATCGGACAGTCGGCGTCATATCCTTTAGATATAGTTCGCCGAAGAATGCAAACCCATTCAGAGTATAAGACAATATTAGGCACAATGAGGAAAGTTGTCGCCGAAGAGGGACTAATCCACGGCCTCTACAAAGGTCTGAGCCTTAATTGGGTTAAGGGTCCCATTGCTGTAGGCATTAGTTTTACAACGTTTGACATGTTTAACAAATATTTACAAAATTTATCCGTTTATATAAACAGTTGATTTTCCACTCATTTCTAGTCTTAAATAAATTTTTAACGCTTTGTATTGTTTGAAATGTTTTCTCATGAAGTTTTAACTATTATAACTTGAGACAAAAATAATATTAAATTCACATAATGTGTTATATAATTAATATTTATTTATTTTATCATTTACTTTAATTTCATTAAGTAAATTAGTAGATATCAGAGGATATGGCTGGAAGTGCAGTTTTTCATTATAATTACAAGACATCACTGTTTAGTGCAATAATTTGAGTACATTTACCGATAATTGAGTTAAAATATACAGTACAGTATCGTATGTTCACTAAATCCTTGAACATAAACATTATTTCCATTTAATAACACATTTGTTATGATTTGCAAATTTTTAATTTAATAAATATTTATTACAAATATCATTATTTAACAAATATTTTCGATTATTATTAAAAACATAATAATAAATATGATAATTGATCAATTATAAATGCATTGAGTTCTAAATACCGTAAAAGCAACTTGATTATATTTCATAAATATTGCAAAATAAATGTTGAAAATATTGATTAGTAATCATTGATTGAATTGATAACTTATTTGAGTACATATACCGTAATAGCATTTCTAATAAATGAGTGACAGATATTATAAATTACCTATGTACTTATGTACCTAGGTACCTAGGTACCTATGTTCATTGATAAGTACCGGTAATGTAGGATACACTGTGTATGTATGGGTGAGAGAGAGTTTGTGCGGACACGACTGTCCCACCAGTGATGTGATTGAGTGGTATATTGTCTGCAAAGAGCGCACGCTTTGTAAGTGACGGCACAGACATGTGTTTCAGTGGTGTTTACGTGTCATTGCAGACACAGACATAGACACAGATCTATGAGAGACAGTGATGGATGTGATGAGACAACTGAGTGCCGAAGAACAACAAATCGAGCACTTCTTCAGTGAACTCAAAGAGCCACACAATTTGGATTCAATTCGTTCAGAAGTACTCGACTTCTGTCAACTCAATTGCAATGAGAAGATTGTCTTGATTACGGTATCACTCATTGAATCCATAATTATGATCATATATTGAGTGTTTGTGACAAACCTGTCATCCCATATAGTCTGGCGGAACGACTGTCCCCTTCGAGCACAATACCGTCCGATTTGTCGACAACTTCTCGGCCGGAACTCGAGGTTCGGCTTCAGCTGAGTATGTCTTCTATGTCTTCGCCATTGTCTTTGACACTCATTTGATGCCAATGTTGTGATTGATAATTATTTTCCATGAATTGATTGTAATGTGAAATAATAGACAAAATATTATAAGTGGTATAATGAATGGTTGTATTCATTGCTTATTATTTCCTTTTAATTGTGAAAATGAGGAAAATTATAGAAATAATAATAATTTCTAAAATTTCTAATTTTTAGGTACTTTTTACAAATCGGTTATTCAGTGATATTCTTATATCGCGTCAAGAGTTTGGAGCCGTTTGTCAGACATTTAAATGCTATCGAATTCTTATCGTCTCTTGAGATCAGTTCCGATAAGCAAATCAAAGGTATTTTCCACTCATTTAATGTCATTTCAATAATATTTCAATTTCATACCAAAGTGTCGACAGAAACGACTGATAAATTGTTGCCAATTGTGGAGCTCTTCAACAAAAGCAAAGACCGCTTATTGAAGATAACTTTCACCACTTTAGACGAGTATTTGTTTCTTCTCAGAGAAATCGCATTAATTCTGCAGAAGAAGGGATCCAAAGGGATGTTATATTTGGCGGCCGCTGTCTCTGACTTCTATATCCCATCCGCTAATAAAGTATGTATTAATCACTCATTCCTCAAGTCTGTTGAACCACTACTTGAAGTTTGTTTGTATTTTCACTTAATATATGACACCTTTGAAAATATATTACTGTAATGCTAACAAACATGTGATAAACAAAATGATAACAATTGCATCATATGTTTACTCTAAGGCAGTCCATAAGATCCAGTCGAGTGAAGGACCCCTAAGGATTCACTTTGAAATCGTACCGAAAGTGTTGAGACCTCTCGTCAAGTATTGGTCTCCAAACACTTACACCATATCTTTCAAAGTGAGATATTTTTAATCATCTGAAACGTGTAATTGTTTTATAATTAAACATTTCACTCAATGTGATTATAGTTAGAAACGGATGAAAGCATTTTACTGGAAAAGGCCCGGAAGGCACTCAACAATTATGGACATCACTTAGTGATCGCCAATGAATTGAATTCCAGAAAATATAAAGTGACTCTCGTTTCAGCTAATGATCACCAATTGATTACTGTCTCCAATGAGGATAACATCGAAATCGAAAAATTAATTGTCGAAGAAGTGGTTAAAAGACACGACAATTATATTAAAGATTCTGTTCAATAACTTATAGACTTACTGTATACCGTTTAGTTATATTTGAAATCTATTTTATAATAAAGTTTTATATTTTTATAATACGGTAATTATTAAACAATTTGATGTTAATAGAAGTTAATAGAATAGATGGTTTTTCCGGCTCATCACTGTAGATAATTTATAAATTTACTGGCATCATTAATTTAATTACAGTAATAATATTTTATTTACCAAAACATGCTGTATTAAATAAAAATATCTTGTTTGTAATTTACAACTTATTTGATAGTTCTATGTATTCATAATAAGTTACATAACTCGACCTTTCATTGAAACTTGAAGTTTTGCTCTCATTAGTACAGTATTAGTGACATATTTAATTATCACCATTTGTTTTGATTAATATTTTGATGCTAATACTAATACATTTAACCAATACTTGAGAACTTTTTAGTACTTTTCATTTTTTGATACTTTGCCAACTGTTTGGGTATATTTTTTTGTAAAATAAATACCGTAAAATATTTTTGAAATAATTTTTCGAAAATCCTTTTTATGATTATTTTATTAAAAACCAATGAAAGTATTAAAGGATTTAAAAAGTATTTCCTAAAATAGACTTAAAAGCCTTTTCAACACAGAATTGAGACAAATTGAGAACAAGTTTTGTATTCATTAATAACTGGTTTTTAAAAGTTAAGGACTCAACAACTCATGAAAAATGGCCACAAATTATTTCTTAGCTATCTTTAAATCAGTTTTTCCGCACTTTTATCCCAACACATGAATTCAATGTTACTTTCCAAACAATCTTTAATTCAATTCACAAAATGGATTACTTTATGGAAAGAAAGTATAATAAATACTATAATAGGTTAACGGGTAAGTGAACTAATAATTTGAAAAATTAACAAGAACTTTTAACTAATTATTTATATATTTATTCATTTCCAATGACTAAAATAGGTTTATTAATAATCGCAGTAATAATAGTTTTCACAATTTGTTTGCTATCGAGTTCTCCATTAATATCATTTCTGTTTGTGATAATCTTCATATTCATTGGTGTGGTAATCGTGAGACTGTTTTGTCCACAATTTTGTCCTCAAAGCAGAGTATCTCTGCCCCGATATCGTCCCGACAATACTTCCAGACTTTCATATACAGCCGTAACTATATTACCGTCGGCGCCATCACTTGATATCACCTCTGATTTGGTCCAAGACCTGCCCCCTAAATATGAGCACATCTATGTGGACAACCATTAATTGAGACAATCTTTTCATTTCATTCATAACCACTTTATGTGCTATTTATGTATTTGATATCTAAATATAATTTTGTTACATAATATACAGTATTTTCACATAATCATACTTTAAATTTGTTTTAAATACTTAAATAAGTTTAATTAATGTTTATTGACTTCTAAAAGATTTAAAGTTTTATTAAAAGAGAGATTTCTATTTGAAAAAATTGCTTTTCAAATGTGATTCAAGAAATATAAAACTATAAAAAAGTTTATGTATTATATAATATTGATGACAAACTGTTGTCACAATTACAGCAACTGTAAGCACCAAATGGCTTATCAAGTGATATATTGATCCCATTATCACATTCGTCACAATTGAATCAATTTGTCTTATTTGACACAACAATTACCTCTAATCTTATATTTTATTGAAATAATTATATTAAATAATGAAATTACTTTTAATTAAAGACATTTTAGCTGAACTAGGCACAATAATAGTCACAGTACGGTACAGTATCATATGAATATTCTGTTCAATTTATCCTGATACATAGAATCATAACTGAATTATCGTAACTGAATTTAATTCATAGCATTCTGTACTAAACGTTATTTGTGTTGAATGTTTATATTTTGCAAATTGTTGTGAAATAACGAGTGTTTGATTGCAAGAACTGTCAACAAGTGTTGCAATCAGTGGTCACTTGCAGTGAATGACCGGAAATGCAGGCAAACAGTCACTCAAACCATACAACAAACCCCACAAACCCTACAAACACTCATAAATCAAGTAATAATGCATTCAATGAATGAATCCATGCTTTCATCACTCAATCACTCAATGATTGTATTTCAGAAACTGTGGTCTATTTGCTGATTGTCCTGATTGTGACGATTATAGACAAAATACACTGGTTTTCACTACTGCACTAGTGTAAGAAGGAGTAAAACCGGTGAGAATACTAATACTGTAAATCACAGTACAAAACACAGTTTACGACAACAGCAGCTGCTGAGAGCTCCCCTCCGGTTCTCAGTCCTCATGTGATGGTCACCAGTCAAGTGGTGGCCAACAGTCGGGCCCCCAATCGAGGCAATGGAGTCGTGGTCTGTGAGCCCATCCCTCACACCCAACACATCCAACACACGACTCCCTTAATGTCTTCACCGGAAGTCAGCTGCGGTAAGTGCGGTACGTATGGCAGACGCGGCGGTTAGCTACCGATGCTGAACTTATGGTTAGTTTGTGAAGGGTGTATACTTCTTCGCTAAGTTAGTTTCATAACTAATGAAAAGCCTTTTGTTATGCCTTTCGATCAAACAATTCGTGCAGATCTGTCACCAATTGCTCACTATTTCAACGAATCTCTCAAATCAATGAATAGATTATAAACTTTCATGAAATGACAATTGCGGCCAAACTTCCAATTTATTCAAAACTGTATTAAAATATTAGTTAATAATTGTTATTTCTATAAATTTGTTACATTTTAAATAATATTTGTCTTAATATTGAATAAATAATGCAATTATTTGTGATAAACACTCAAAAGTGAGATATTCTGATAATAAGGACACAAACTTTGTACCAAAATTATAGATTCAATTTAGAAAATAATATTTGTTTCATATTTCGGCAAATGAATTGAAAATCAAACTATTTTGTAATTATAATAAATAAATTATAAATTTGATCAAATATATACATGGTAGATTCTATAAATACGCCCACTCCTATACATTTATAAGTACTTATTGATTAACCCCTTATTAGTTGTTTCAATGATTTTAATTAATTCTTTAAAATCTTAAAACACTATTGAATATAAAGTAGTTATGGATTGGATTGGATCCGAACTTGGCTTAGATTTACACCACTAATCTACACGGGATAACCCTGCTTAGTTTTACACTACTATTGATATGATACAATAAGTCTTAGTTCAGGGCAGTAACAATCAATTACAATAACAATTAAATATAGTTTTCATTCAAATCTGATCCAAACATAGCTCAATAGACTATATCCTCCCCTAATTCTCCATTCATTTTTCTAATTGATTATTAAGAATCTATCACTAAATTGTCTGTAATTTATACAAATAAATTTTGTTAAATAAATGTTGTGAACATTAATTTTATTATTTTCAGATGAATATAGAGAATGTGCTTTAAAACATACTTTCCTTCAAACTATTCGCTATCTATGACTAAATAGTGGTGTTTAAGAAGTTTAACAATATCTGAGATTAGATTCCATATAAAGCTAATAAAGTTATTATAATATTAACTAATCATTACTTAACAACAAATTATCAAAATTTAAAAATATGTCAAATAAGTTGTTGACGGAATTTCCCGACAATTCAGGGGAAGGATGATTGGAGATTGAGGTCAACATAAGTCTTGTTTGAGTTCAATTCAAACTAGTTATGTAATCTCTCTCTCTCTCTCTCTCTCTCTCTCTCTCTCTCTCTTAACGATCATTTACAGCAAACCATGGAATCCCCAAATCCATGTAAAAACCAACAACCGATAAAATTAATTTTTAAAATTAAACTAAATGTCATTCACTAAAAGTCTTTAAATTACTTTGTTTTAAATTCAGTTTAATATTTCTTCCAATTTTTCATTTCTTATGAAATTGTTAAATAGTGTGCTATGATATGAATGATTTAAGTTGATTTTTATTTTAAAAAATTTGTTTAAACTTAAAAGTGATGCCAAATAAAAAGCGTCATAAAAAATATAAAATACAAAACGCAAGAAATGTATTGGAGTTTTGCGATGAAGAGGGAGATAAGTCAGTCAATTAGGTCTTTCGCGAAAATATTTTATATTAATCACTGGATTAATACTTTGTCTATAGTTTACTTCATTTGGCTGTTGTGGCGGACATTGACTCCCAAACGATGACAAATATATGTCGTTTTGTGTTTGACAAGTATGGACTCAACTACGGAATCAATTGTCCAAATAATTTACTCCAAACTCCTCTACACATCGCTTCATGTGTTGGAAATAAAAGTTTAGTCCAACTCTTAATAGATTTTGGTGCCGATATCAGTGCTGTCGATAGGAATATAGAAAATGCCATTCATTTGGCTGTAAAATATGGAAATAAAGATTGTTTGGAAATACTGCTTAAAACGTGTACTGATACTCGTATTAATATATTGAATGCATTAAATATCAATGGATTATCTCCTTTGCATCTATGCGTTGAGTGTGATCTCGAGTCCGCACACGATATGATTCAAATGATTACCAATTCTGGAGCCGATATCAGTGAGTGATCCAAATGACTATATTTATACAATTTATAACTTAATTATATAAAGTTAATGGTCTTTAATATTAGACCGCAATACAACTCAATTACCAAGAATTCATTCATTCATATTTAATATTCATTTGATAAAACAATAATACCACTCAATTCTACATACAATAATTTGTTTGTTTCGTAGATTTTCAAATGATTTGATTTTAAATATATTTTCCAAATTAATAAAATGTTGACTATTATACTGCTCTAATATTGTAAAGTGCATAGAAAGTCACTCTATTTACTAGTAATGATCGATCACATAAAAGTATTACCGTAAATTACCTATCATCTTTATATCAATATTATTGATGCTTTCATTTTGATTCATTTGATGGTTAACTTTTGATATGAAGTTATTAATATATTACCCATTGTTTTATAGATGTAAGGGACGGACTGTCCGGTCGGACACCTTTAATGCACTGCTTAATAAAGAACGGAAAGCAAAGCAATTCAATAAAAAACTTATTGTTGTCTTTAAAGGCAAACATCTCTTTATCCGATTAATTACCAATTCTGGAGCCGATATCAGTGAGTGATCCAAATGACTATATTTATACAATTTATAACTTAATTATATAAAGTTAATGGTCTTTAATATTAGACCGCAATACAACTCAATTACCAAGAATTATATTCATTTGATAAAACAATAATACTACTCAATTCTACATAGTTTGTTTGTTTCATGGATTTTCAAATTATGTTATTTTTAAATATATTTTCCAAATTAATAAAATGTTGACTATTATACTGCTCTAATATTGTAAAGTATTACCGTAAATTACCTATCATCTTTATATCAATATTATTGATGCTTTCATTTTGATTCATTTGATGGTTAACTTTTGATATCAAGTTATTAATATATTACCCATTGTTTCATAGATGTAAGGGACGGACTGTCCGGTCGGACACCTTTAATGCACTGCTTAATAAAGAACGGAAAGCAAAGCAATTCAATAAAAAACTTATTGTTGTCTTTAAAGGCAAACATCTCTTTATCCGATTATTCGGGTTTTAAGGCCATCGATATAATGGAAGAAAATGACATTTGAAGTAATCAACCAAAAGTATTTATAACATAAAATAATTGTAAAATAATTAGATTAGACTTATTAATAAAATTAATTAATTCATTGAAGTAGATAAATAAATAAAATAAAATAAATTTAATAAAAAATAAATGTTTCGAAACAGGAGTTGATATTTGTATCCAAATATAAAACAATAAATACTTAAACTACGGGTATAACTATAAATTAATATTTTGATTGATAATCATCGATATATGAGTGATCGGATTGTTGTTATTTGATTACAATTTATATTTAAAATTATTAAATCATTTAATAAACCATTTAAATATAATACTGTTAGATTTTAATAAATATTTGGCAGATGCTTAATAAAAAATTAAGTAAAATTCAGTCTATTATTTAATAATTCTATTATATTATAACAAAATTGTCTAAATATTAAACAGAAACCATTGTTTTGGTATCAACCAATTGTTCACATTTAAAACTGCAGTCAATTTGTAATCATTGGCACAATCTTTAAGTTATTAAAAAAGTTTACAATAAAAAAGTTTTAAGAAATTGAAGAAAAGTCTGTTTTACATTTGTATTATAATAAACTTTTTGAGCAAAAGTGTAAGAAAACACTGAGAAATCAGTGAAAAGTTGAGCCGTTTGTAGTTTTTGATGCATTTAAGACTTATTGAATATAAAGCATAATCATGTTGTTTGTCGAAATCAAAGCATTGGACTAAATGTTTCTAATCATTACAACTGTGTGTCTCCGGAATCACACAACTTATGAGATTCGATGTAATCGATTAGACTTCTGAATAAGAAATCAAACTGTGCCTGAAATTGAGATCATTTTATTAGATACAAGTCTATCATAAGATGAGAGCATTTGACTCACAATTGTTTGAAGCATACAATGTCTTTGGGAACGGATATACCGAACCGTTTGAAAGACATCGACTCTCTCTTCACATTTAATTTGTTGTATTAGAGAAGCGAATGCAACGAATAGTGAGGATCGGTCGCCACCACCGCTGCAATGGACGACAATTGGTGAAGAGGTTTGTGTATTGTTGGCCAGAGAGACGTCCATTAAGTCTATTAAGGAATGCGTCGAATCGGGAACGACACCACTTTTCCACGAAAGGAACTGAAACTGTGTTACTCTTTGGCAGTCATTAGTCTGCAGTTCACAAAGAGATGACAATTAAGATGTATTTAGAGAAAATAATGCCATTACTGTAATACCTTTTTGTGGGTCACATCGAAAACCCTTTTTATATAGAATTGTGTCACGTCTTCGGCCACAAACTTGACTCTAACGAACTCGCAGTCAAACTCCTCTGTCGGCCAATAACAGTGACATTTGCTCTGTCCGTCTCCCAGTTCTGCCAGCATTACTAGTGTTGAGACATTCTGCTCAGCGATTGTCCACCAAAACTCATTAACCGTATGTTCCATAGGGTCTTGAGTTACGATGAAAGACAACGAGTGGTCGTAACCCTTAACATATCATTTAAGATATCGTTAATTAATGAGTCCATCATTTTCAACAAATTTCTTTTACCCGAACAAACGATGCGTTTATGTAATAAGAATTATCTTTTGATGGTAACGGCGTTAATATCACACGATTTACATCATCTAAAGTGTAAATTAAATCATAAGTAAATTTCTCTCTCTCTCTCTCTCTCTCTCTCTCTCTCTCTTTCTCTCAACTCTTACATGGAATGATAAAATCATATCTATTTTTGTTTTTATTTATATCCATCGATCCAACGACACAAGACTTTTGGTCTTCAATCACTTCATTTAATTTCTATTAAAAAGATTAAATGATTTAAATTAAAAATTCATTGAAATGAGAACCAAAATATACCTCAAACTCAGCCATAATTGCATTAATATTAGCATCAAATTTGTCTTTGAGATGTCTATAATGGTCTCTTAAGTGACAAATTTCAACCTCCGTGTCCCCGAACTCGATGTACTCCATGACCGCCCGGTAGACGAATATATACTGTTTAACTGATTGGACCAAATGGTTCCTCTGATGCCGGAGATGTGAAACGCATTCAAATATATTAATATGAGTTGAGTTATCATTGATTTGTGCCATCAATGAGTCGATTGCAATGAAAGTGCCGGTTCTGCCGACCCCTGCAGAACAGTGCACTACAATGGGTCCCATATCTGGACAGTAGTGTTCGTTCACACGTTTAATAAACCTCAAGAGCCAAGAGGGCTGTTCGGGCGCCAGAAAGTCTCTCCACATCACGAAATGGAAGTGCAATATATCACGACTTTCCTCACTTCCATCCACTTTCTCGAGAAGAAAGCGTCGAATTATGTAATCCGAGAATTTGCGGACACTTTTGAGAGTAACTCGAAATTGATTTGAAATCTCTTTGGGCTGATCTTCGCTCCAATATTGACTGCATTTGATTCTTCCCTGTTCTTCAATACCAGTCAACATCACTATCACTCTAATAATCAATTAAATTACATTCAATTACTGCTGCCATATAAACCATATTTTCAAAATAATCATTATTACCGGCATTTCTGTTCGTAAATCATTCGCCAAAAATCATTCACTGTTTTCTGTTCACACAATCAAACAAAATAATGCAATTGAAAATAATTTGCAAATTTTTATAAATTACAAGTTTTCTCATTTAACACAACTAACTAACAAGAAAGAGGTGATCACCTGAATGGGTCCCTGAGCACAGATGAATAGTTTCCGTCTTCTATACCCCTCAACGAAGTCTGCATTAATATAATCAGATCCAGGAGTTCCTTCAATAGCATTCAGAGTGACTCTCGTCTGATCGTAACTCTTAATATCCGGGTATCTATTTTTGGACATATTTTCGGGCGAATCACTTGCAGTAGTGGTTCGATCGGAAAATTTTTCGGGAAGTGATTCAAACTCTGTTTATAAATTCAAAATTGTATTAATATTTTAAATGTCTATATACCCGTACATGTTTATTAATAAATAAATACCGGCTTGAAATAGGAAGTCACTGTTTAAGTGTCGCTCTTGGAATACAACCGAAAGCTTATGGATAGGAATGGGAGCGGAGACCCACTTGTGAATTGAGTTAATATTCATGTGGTTAGGAATGTGTCCGTTTCGGTGACCGTTCACTGTTCGCCGTATAAGTGAAGTCAAACCCAATCTCTCGTCATCAGAACCGGACGTTTCGCTCGCTTTTCGCTTAAGAAAACATAAAACCGATAGAAGAAGAACTAAAACCAAAAGAAGACCACAAATGGTTCCAAAGAGTACTCCGTTCGCGGATTCAGACAATGAGGAGAAGAATATAGAGAGTGAGGACTCATTGATGGGAGCCTTCAAACTGAGAGACGAGGTCTCGATTGGTGCGAAATAATCACTTTGTTTTGTCATAAGAGTATGATTTGGTCCCAAAACGACGAGTTCAACAAAACCGGTGTAATTAGTGTTAGGAAGCAGTGATCCGTCAAAGATGTAGTCCGAAGACAAAGAGAGCGCCGACTCGTTCTCGCCGTTCATTCTTCTCGGCGATCGGTTCTCATAGTCTTGAGTGCATTGATTGGCAAATCCGTCGCCAATCACTATATTATTAATCAAATTATCGGAATTATACTCTTCGGCCACATAAGCGCCGACTGAATAAAAATCTGCATTTTCAGAGGGGGAATGGATGTGACTGTGGACTTCGCTGTATGTCGTTATATTGAGTTGATTGGGACTGGAGGGTAGGGCTTGAGTTGCATTGGGATAGTTTGGCAGTCGGATTATTATGACTTTATAGCACAATATCACACCATTCCTCTCAGACACTCGCGGAACAAATACACGCAAAAGACGACTAGTTTTGTCCGATTTGTCATCAATTCTCACTTTTTCTAGTCTTATACTGGAAGGCATTTGGAAGGGAGTGGTGGTCGATGTCTCACACATTGTGGATGTGGTTATATGCGATAAGAGACCGCATCCAGACTTATTGATTGTACAGACTCTCACTGTATAGTTAGTATTGGGCTTAAGAACTAAATTCAATTTGGTTTCATTGGCTGACAATTCAAACGCCTCTTTGAACTGATCGATCACTTTCTTATTGTTGGCGTTCCTATAGGTAGAGAAGGCTTCAAACGTGACATTATATCCGACAATAACTCCGCGGGCGTTGTCCGGCAAATCCCACACAACTGTCCCGTTATTTACATTCGTGTCGATATCGTAAATACACTTAAGTTTCACATTTCGCGGCGGATCTGAGTGTCCGTCAGCAGTGACTGCATCTAAAGTGTCGGACCATTCGCTGCAACCAATGGCAGAACAGGCCTTCACTTGGAAGTCATAGTGAGAGCCGGCTATTAATGAAGGAAACATTATCATGTAATTGTTGCGTGTCTGGATAGCACCGGAACTGACATCGAGTGTCTGATTAGAAATGAGAAAATCTTGAGAATCACGTAAAGTCATGGAGTAGTGAGTGATTTGGGCGCCGTTATCATGCGTCGGACGCTTCCATCCAATCAGTAAAGTCTCATTAGTTTTGGCAAAGATGTGAACTTCGCTTATCTTTGAGGGCACGTCTGATTGCATTGTTATGTTCATTGCCTCCCATTCGGAGCGACCCATTGAATTGATTGCCGCTAAACGAAACCCATAGACAGCACCGGGAGTGAGATCTGTTATAGTAAATGATTTGGAATCGTTTGCTCCGATGTTTTCCTCTTTGGTCATCCAAATCGAGTCAATAGTACTATAGTTTATGAATTGCATTTCGATTCTATCGATGGCTGAGTTGCCCTCATAGGCGACCCTCCAGTAGACCACTGCCGACCGACTCGACAGCGACTCAATCCTATCTAATTGTATTTCCGGGGTCTCCAACACTATTAAACTCATCTCCGATTCACTTCTATTGTAGGCATTACTTGCGCGGCAAACATATGAGCCATTGTCCGATCGCTTCACAGTTTCTATACTAAGAGTACTCTGTTGTGAGGACTCGTCGTTTTCGCTGTTTTCGATAACAACCCTTCCGTCCACTTCAACAGCCACTGACTCATTGCCCACCAGTTTCTCCCATTTGATGGCAGCCTTTGGGTATGCCTTCACTCTACAAATTAACTTTCCGTTTGACTCCAAATTTTCTCCTAATATCCCATTCTCTGGTATTGTATTGATTTGAATTGGAGCTAAACGTAACACAAATTAATGATCAATTTAGAGATTTTTGTTTTATCAGAATTACTTAAGCATACATTGGAACACAAATTATAGCATTCTGTTACAGTATTAAGTTCTATACTATCATATTACAGTAATTGGTACTAGGTTACTAAATTTAGACTATCTGCATTTTAAAACTAATAATGCAATATTATCTACATATGTGTATACAGTATTTTACTGTAGAATAAGAATATATTCTTAAATATAAAGTACATTTCTATTATATTCATAGTTTGATTTTATAAACCATGATATTTTATAAATGATTTTATAAACACATATAAAACTGAAAATTAAAAATATTGTTTAAGATGTTAAAATATTCCATGCAAAATTTAAGATTTAGAATTTTTGTTTATTAAAAATCTAATAACCAGAATATTCTTATTATATTTGGAAATAATTATAACAGGAAATAAATTCTATTTGACTGAAAATTTAATAAAATTTTAGATATTGAAATAAAAATACAAACATTGGTTACCCTTTTGACCCCGCATTCATACTTCAGGGCAGTGCACACATACAGTACAATAGTTTTTCAGTTACAGTTTAAATTGATGTTTAAGTACACAATACAGTTATTTCCAAATACCAAATATCACTTTTGGTTATATTTTAGAGGTATATTCAAATATTTCATATTTTTTCACTGAAATCTCTTTAGAAACCTAATTCATCAGTACCACTGATTCAGTGGTTATTTAAACAAACAGGATTTTATTGCATCAATTACTGTAATTGCCACTGAATTAAAACAAAATACTAAAATTGTAATGCCCGTAAATATAAATTTAGAAACTTAATGAATATTACTAATGAGATTGATATGATTGATAAGATGCGATATACTGTATTATAGTGTAATTGTGTAATTTAGACAATATATGACTATGACATGGATATACTGACTGAAAATGGAGACATTGGCCGCTTGTGTGTAGAGTGTGTTGGGTTGGGATGTGTTGGTGTGTCGAGCGTTGCACACATAGAGCCCGTCGTGAACGGTCTGAGCCGCGCATTCGACCGATAGCTTCGAGTGATTGGTGGCACCGGAGCTGTGACTATAGCTCTCTATTATATCCGATGATTGACTAATATTTTGATTAC